CCTGAAACTCTCCTGTGCAGCCTCAGGATTCACCTTCTGTAATTATTACATGAACAGGGTCCGCAAGGCTCCAGGGAAGGAGCTAGTGTGGGTCGCATGCATTAGTAATATTGCTTATACCATCAACTATGCCGATGCTGTGAGGGACCAATTCACCATCTCTCTCTCTCTCTCCATCTCTCTTTCTCTCTCTATGTCTCTCTCTCTGTCTCTGTGTGTGTGTCTGTGTAGGTGTGTATTTTCCTGTGCATTTCTGTCCATGTTGATGTGATTTTCTCTATCACCTATACCACACATTACACATTTTGAGACAGACTCCATCACTGGGTCTGGATATTCCTAACTGACTAGACTGGTTGGCCAGTACTACACTACTTTTGGCTGTGACGTCTAACTTTTCATAGTTATGAATATCTAGGAGTATAGATCCAACTTAAGGATACTTGTGTGGCAAAAACTTGAACCACAGTGCTATCTCCACAGCCTAATTACTGATATCTATTTACAGTACATGGAAACTCTGTTCTGAATCAATTCAAAACATCAAAAATGGAAGAAGTGATTGTGAAGAGAGCCGATTTACAGACTAGAAAAATGCAACAGACTAGAAAGTGTGGCATCTTAGACTCAGGGCACAGACAATACTTGCCATTGTGAGAGCACTGTGGGGGTGCAGGTTAGAGTCAACAAGGGCATAACACATTGTCAGAGACATAAGATCCCTGATGCCCTCATTGTCACCTTCATCATCACAAAATATGTGCACATCAGACACTGGTGTGGAACTTGTAATGAAATGTGTGTGAGGCTCCATCAAAGAGGCAGTGAGGGGAAGGCAGCCAGAGACACCCACTGGGCTTCAGTCAACTGCAGGCATCTAATAACCCAGTCAGCAGGAAACATATATTTCATCTTCTTTAATATTTATTTGTTATAATTTTATTCTTATACTTCTCCTGAATTCAATGGACCTTAGGAAATTTCTTTTTTAATCATTTTTTTAATTTTTAGAAACAATCTTATTTACATATCCATCCTCCCCCATTCTTTTGCCTTCCATTCCTCCCATGCTTCCTACTTACCGACAAAACCACCCACCATCCACTCCCCAGGGATAGTGAGAACCTCCATGGAGGATCACCAAAGTCCATCACATTATTGGGGGAGGGCCCAGGCCCTCCTTTCCATATCTGGTCTGCAATAGAATCCCTCCATAGGGAATTAGCTTCCAAAGTTCATTTGTGGCCTAGGAATAAACCCTGGATCCACTGTTAGAGGTTCGATAGACTGCCTTGGACACCTAGCTGGTTCCCACATTCAAAGTGCTTGGTTTGGTCCAATTCTGGTTCTCCCACTTTACGACTATGATCTGCATGCTCTCATTAGTTCAGGTTATCTGTTTCTGCTGGTATCTCCAGTTCCGTTCAGTTGGACATCTCTCCTTCCTCTCTGCAAATTAACTCCAGGAATGTGACTCAGTGTTTAGCTGTGATGGCCTGTTTCTGCTTCGATCAGCTACTGGGTCAAGACTCATCACAGGAAAAGTCCATTAAGATGAAGTCTCAATTCTGAACACCTATGCAACAAATACAAAGGCACCTATATTTGTAAAAGATACATTACTAAAGTTCAATTCACACATAAAAGCTCATACACTGGTAGTAGGAATTTTCTTTTAACATGTTCTTCTATTTTCTTTCCTGCATGCTCCTTTCTATGATTGGTTACACTGCCTCCCCAACACGCATGATGTGTAGTCCCTCCTACAATATCTGAAACAGGTTCTTTTCTAAAGGTCACATATACACAAGTTCACATCCTACAGGAATCTGTGTGAAGCTAATGAAGATTATTCTCACTAGTATGTTGGGAGACTGTGGACGGGTTAAATTATGAAAGAACAGCTACAAATGGAAATCACAGAATCCTTTTGTTTTTCAGTGAAAATGTGATGACATCTGAGAACTGATCTTGGTATGAGCAGATTGTCGTGAACTTATGTCACCTACGATAACATCATGAATGGGGCTAGAGTCCATTGAACTCAGGGAAAATGGCAGGAAAGGGGCTGGGTATTCATAAATTCAGTCATTAGGCAGATCATCTGGAATTGCAGATGGGAGCCAAGGCTGCTTCATCACAGCTGTAAGTGTCCAGGGTTTCAGTAGTGGGACCCAGAAATGTCACTATTGGATGTATGACTGATAGTGAGGTTGCTTGTCCCCAGGTGTCCAGTCCCAGGTGCAGCTGAAGGAGTCAGGTCCTGGCCTGGTGCAAACTTCACAGACCCTGTTTCTCACCTGCAATGTATTTGGGTTCTCATTAAGCAGCTATCATGTATATTGGGTCCACCAGACTCCAGGAAAGGGTCTATAGTGGATGGGAGTAATAGCTAGTTATGGAGGGATAGCATATATTTTCATCTCTCCAATCCCGAATCAGCACCACCAGAGACACGACCAAGAGTCAAGTTTTCTTAAAACTGTACAGTATGCAAATTGAAGACTCAGCCATGCATTCCAAAGCCAGAGACAATGTGAGGAGCCTCCATTATGAGCTCAGACAGAAACCTCCATGAAGAGACCCTCAGGACAAACAGGATACGCTGAGGTACAATATGGACTCCCATGAACAGTGTAGGGTTTCCTCAGAACTAGGAAATTCTGGGTTATGCTGCATGAGCACATGTTCTCGTATCAGCACCTGTGGTTTCCTCTTCCAACCATGGAAATCCTTTAGAGGCCCCTCTACAGTCATATTCTACTGAACATCTGTGTTCACACACTAGAACAAAGGCTTTTCCCACAAAACGTTAAGCAATACAGATGTTTATTTTTATACCATTGAATGGCAAATAGTTTTTGCATTCCATATATATGCACATATATTTATACATTTTTAGATGCATATATATTTTGTACAAATTAATTAATAATTTTATATCTCTGTATGCAATGGTTGGGAACATAGGTGCACACTATTTATCCAGTCACTAGGCAGACAGTCACAAGAAAATCTCTCATAGTTCAATGACAGATTGGTCTACATAATGGGTCCAGGCCAACAAGACTGACCCTGTGAAAAGGAAGGAAGAAAAAAACTCAGTCAGTCTACTAGTGAATATCCATTTCATCATGTTGATGTGATGCTGTGCGTGGGTGTGTGGTGTGTGTGTGTGTGTGTGTGTGTGTGTGTGTGTTAGGATGTGTGAATGTATCTAGGCTATGGTTGCAGTTGTGTAGACTGTAACTGACACCACATCTTTTCATCACAGCCTTTGAAATTATCCTAGTGTTTTATCTACTGATGTGTCCAACATCAGACCAAAAGTAACACTGGAAAGAAAGGGACAATGCCATTTTATTATTAAGTCCATCATGCAGTAAAATCAGGACATGAAATCAAAGCAGATATTTGAATGAAGGAACTGAATCAGAAAACATGAAGGAACTGTGCTTACTTACTTCACTCCATGGTTGTTCAGCATGCATTCTTACATAACCCAGGAACGCCTTACCATGGATGGCACGATCCACAACTGCCTGGACCCTCACATAACAATAATGAGAGAGAGAGAGACAGAGACAGAGACAGAGACAGAGTCAGAGACAGAGAGAATCAGAAAGAGAGACAGAGAGAGGGAGGGGACCCCACCCTCAGGATTAGTGAAAATAAGCAGGTGTCGTAGGGTATATAGAAAAGCAGAGGTGGCCTGAACTCCTATAACTGAGGGACTGTTTGTTTTGCCAGGAGCCAAGGACTCTAACCTGGAATCCTATGACATTTGCTTCTTAAAGTAGCCAGACTAGACCAACTCTATAATTCCATGCAAAATGTGATGGGTCTAGAAATGATTGATCTTCAACAATATAGTGACTTAGCATGGCATAAGTCTCTGTACTCAATCTGTAGTAACAGTGGGTAGTGAGTGACCCGGACCCAACTGCCATCAGGGAAGACCATGGTATTGAGAAGAACATTACTAATCTTAGGGCACCACTTAAAACCAATCTCTGTCACATCCCTTCAGGATCTCCAGGTAAACAAGAGCCTTTTATCCTGATGCTGAGCTCTGTGAACACTGAAGCAGCAGGAATGTGTTACTCTTCAATCTACACTGTGAAACTTGAGTATAAGGCATGACACACCAACCTGCCGGGGCACTCAGGACCAGCAGGGTGCACAGTGGAGCCAAAAATCAGCAGGACAGAAATGAGATGAACAGAGGAGGGGACTGCATAGACTCTGTGCACTCCCTTTAAAAATTTGCAACCTGAACAACACTTATTGCAGTTGGTATGTAAAATCTCCAATATTCAAAAACAGTAAAAACTCTTTGCTAAATATTGCAGTTTATTTTCTTGTTTGTTTTAATATGATTTATGCATTTTTGATATTTGAAAAATAATTTTTCCTCTAATATTTTGATATCTCAATCTCACTGCTCAATTCCTCCCTGATGTTTATTATCTCCTTACCACTCAACTCTGCAAGCCCCCTTTATGTCTATAAACACCCAGCTCATAGGCATAAAGGAAACGGATACTACACACACACACACACACACACACACACACACACACACACACACAGAAACAGAGAGAGTGACAGAGACAGAGACAGAAACAGACAGCACAGAAGCAACCAGCTGGAAAAGCACATAGCATTTGTCCATGAAAGAAGTGAACATGTTCTCCCAATTTAGGAGCTTTGCAACTATCCAATCATAATTACTACCCACTTCTGAAATGAATTTGTCACCAGGAGGATCAAATATCTCCGATTCTGGTTCTATTTTTAAATGTAGGGTTTAGGCTTTGATGCTATATGAACAGGGCGTGCACAGGTCTCTGAAATTACTCCTTCCTCAGACAGAATGAGGATTTGGATCTCAGCCTACTCCTGTCTGTCCTCTACCTTCTTTGTTCCAAATTTACTAAGTCCTTATCTAAGAAGTACCATGCTCATGAATATGCAAATCATGTGAGTCTATGCTGGCAAATAAAGGGATGTCTATACCACTAACAACATATGATCAGTGTCCTCTCCACAGTCACTGAGTGCCCAGGTCCTAACCATGGCATGGAGCTGGATCATCCTCTTCCTTGTGACAATAGCTACAGGTAAGGGACTCCATGTTCCAGACATGAGAAGGGGCCATGCACTCAGGTGACAGTGACACCAGTTCTGCCTTTCTCTCCAAAGGTGTCCACTCCCAGGTCCAGCTGCAGCAGTCTGGGGCTGAGCTGGTGAAGCCTGGAGCCTCAGTGAAGATATCCTGCAAGACTTCAGGCTACACCTTCACTGATGGTTATATGCACTGGGTGAAGCAAAAGCCTGGACAGGGCCTGGAGGGGATTGGAAGAATTGATCCTGATAGTGGTAATACTAAGTATGAAGAGAAGTTCCAGGGTAAGGCCACACTGACTAGAGACAAGTCCTCCAGGACACTCTACATGGAGCTCAGCAGTCTGACATCTGATGACTCTGCGGTCTATTACTGTGCAAGACACAGTGTTGCAACCACATCCTGAGAGTGTCAGAAAACCTGGTGGAGCAGGAATCTGAGATGACACAGAAGATCAGCCTGGAGATGTACTCAGAAATAATCATTGTGAGTGCCCCCTTTTCAGCTTCCTTCTCACAGTCCTATAGGGTGTTTGTCAAATTTTCATAGTGATATCTGATAATGAAGTGGTGCTGATTGAGACTGCACTGCAGTCCTACAGTACAACAGACCTTGAGGAGATCTTTTTCAGTGTCCACCTCCATTGACAAGCTTCTGCTTTAGCGAATCAGAAAAAAAGTTGTGACAATACACTACGGCATGTGTGTGTGTGTGTGTGTGTGTATTGGTGTGTGTATTTGCCCTTTAAATCTAAGATACTAGAATTGGTGTTGGAGTAGCTCGGAATACACTATCACATGAATTTGGCTAGGAAAATAAAATCAGCAATAGCAGAACAAATAAATTTTACTTTCGAAATTCTTTTTGATGTACCTAACAACACACCATATTCCTAAGTGGAAGTTGTCTCCATAGATTTTGGGGATTTTTTTTGTTTTTTTGAGACAGGGAATCTCTGTATTGTTTTGGAACCTGTCCTGGAACTCGCTTGGTAGACCAGGCTGGTCTCAAACTCACAGAGATCTGCCTGCCGAGTGCTGGGGTTAAAGGTGTGTACCAACAATGCCCGGCTTGGAGAATCTTTTTAATTTTCCTCATAATTTCAATTCTATGTAATTATTTGTATATAAGTCTAATCCTGGATTGCTTTTGTTAGTAGTAATATAATTTCTTACCATTTGAAAGATTAAGAGGGAGCCAAATATAATACTGTGAAATCCCCTAGATATACAGTCTGTTATTTTGGAAAACTTCTGGGCTCCTGATCATAAAACACAGGACTACAGCAATGGGATTATTACTGGTATTTTGACTGATTGACATTGTGTTGACATCAGTTTATGGCACATGGTAGCCCTGTCAACCACACTAACACATACACAAGCACCCAACACAAACAAAAAGACAAAGAAAGTGAGAGAGATTTTTATTTTTATGCTTGTCAAGGCCCACTTATACCTGCAATTAATTTTGGACTGTCTTATAACTTTCACATATCTGTATCTAAGCAATTCTGTCTATGAATGTTTTGTGTTTTTGTTCTGTTTTACTGAGGGAAAACACATACCATGGCTCTACATAGGCTGAATATCAGGAATAAATAATTCTGCCATTGATAGCAGGACTAAAATCTGCCTATTTTTACTGCAGAAACTTCTTATCCTCCAAGGCCCAGTGTCTTCCCAATATCTTAAGAGCAAGACAAAGGTTCAGCACCATCATGAACTATCTTAATCTACTATAAACCACAGAGTCAGGATAGAAAGAAAAGAAGGTTCCTTAATCTGTGGATTCTGCGGAACACAAAGACTAAGAATGATATGAGTGTGGGGTTGTAAATAGATGTGAACTGGATTGACCCATGCAAGGTTCATAGGGCTGACTTCTATACAGACAGACTAGATTTCTAAAGAATGGTCAAAGCTTCTGTCCTATACAGAACTCCATCTCATGGCTGCCCTGATGAGTTATATTCAGGGTTGCTGATTCCTTAAGCAACCTTCCTGACCTGCAAATGACTGCTGAGAGAGAATGAAACTGTCTGCAAACATTTCAGAGTGATCCCTACATGGGGTTGAGAATAATTAACTAGCAACCATGTTCTTAAATAACTTTTCACAGTGGGACATAGTCAGATACTTTATATTATGATTTTCAAATGACATCAAGTCCACATGATCAATAAATAACATTGCTAAACATTTTTGACATGAGGCATCAAAAATTAATATCAATTAAATTAGTTATGCAGAGCCTGCGGAGTAATTGAAGAGAGGTCAGCAAGGGTGTTTCCTGACTCTACTCAGTGATTATTCCTCTCAGTTAACCACATTCAAGGCCCAAGAGACTAACTGCTATGGCAGTTAGAACCTTTTGTAGAAGGATACAATATCAGTTAATTTCTAGAATCTATATCACTCTTCTGGGAATGCTACAATAAGAGATTTGACCCAGTCCAAAGACTCATTCAATCACCATGGCAACAGTTTACTCATAGTAGAAATAATTTTTCTATTGGAAACCCAGGAATCTTCAGCAGATGGTGTTCTAGAACACAAAAACTGTGTATATGGCCCCATCCCTAACACAGAACTTATCCCCAATTGTTAACATCTTTCAAAGGAAAAATGAGATTTCTCTAAGGAAGTCTAATCGAGGAAATCAAGACTCCTAATCATTGGCTGGAGACCATCATCAGTTGTCATTAGAAATCCATTCAAATGTGTTTGGGAAGCTTCTTGTCTCATAATATCACCTGGCTTTAATTACATTATATACATCTATTTCATCTATTTACTTATCTCTTATTTTATTCTACAGTACCTTTGCCTATATAGTAAAGTTTCTAACTTTTTGTTTTTATGAGATTCCTGAGTATGTTAATCAGGTGGTCTCTGAATCCATACCTGTTTCTTGTGCCTTCTCCTGGGATATTTTCCTTCAAGTTTTTTTGTATTATCCTGTTGCAATGTGTTAGTTCTACTTTGATATCCTTTTAATTTATTTTATTTACCAGAAGCCTGATCAATTTCAAGACACAGCAGGGTGGTGTACACAGATGGGAAGGATCATAGCAACATTATTCATAAAAGCCAGAACTTGAAAACAGTGTAGACGAAGCTCAACCAAAGAATGGATAAAGAAAATGTGGTATATTTACACAATGGTGTACTTACTGCTCAGCACTAAGAAAAGATGACATCCTAAAATGTGCAGGCAAATGAACAGAACTAGAAAAAAATCCTTAGTGAGGTAACCCAGACCCAGAAAGAAAAATATAGTATGGACTCACAAATAAGTGGATACCATACATAAAGGAAATTATATCCAACCTAAAATCCACTAGCCACGTTCTCTATTCCAGACTCATATTGTAGGAAGTCAGACACAGTGATGAACATATTGTTACAAGGAAATAGAGTAGTATCCACCCTCCCTGCTTATTAAGTCTACGCTGACTCCCACATGCAACTGCATTTTCTATCTCTAAGTTAAATCCTCTCCTGGGCTGTGGGAGCCCACAACTCTCACAGGAAGCTGACCTCTGAGAAAAGGGGATGTATCCTAGAAGATGATGCTGTTGGGCTTCTTTACTTGGTGACAGCCCTTCCTGGTGAGTATGAAAATTTCATACATTTGTCCATGTGGGGATGTGAAAGCTTGTGATTGACAGAATTGACTCTACTTGTCCGAAGTTGTCCCATCCCAGATCCAGCTTCAGGAGTCAGTACCTGGCCTGGTGAAGCCCGCATAATCATTGTCCCTCACTTGCTCTGTCACTGATTATTCCATTGCCACTGGTTATTACTGGCACTAGATCAGGCAGTCCCGAGGAGTGAAGTTGGAGTGGAAGGGGTTTATAAATTATGATGGAACCACCAACTATAACCTATCCCTCAAGAGCCGCATCTCCATCACCAGAGAAACATCCAAGAACCAGTTCTTCCTGAAGCTGAACACTGTGACGACTGAGGATGCAGCAACATATTACTGTGCAAGAGACCCAATGAGGGGACTTCAGCCTGAGCCCAACACAAACCTCCCTGCAGAGGAGCTCTGGGCCGGAAGAGGATGCTCAGACCTATCCATCCCTGGAACTCTAAAACTTCTGAGTAGGGCAAGAAAAACATCTGGTTGCTTTTGACTTTGCTTCCCACGCCCTAAGCACAGAGAAGACAGGGGGTCTTTTCTCTCTATGATCCTGAAATGCTGTGTTTATGGAAAGTCACATTCATTTGTTTCTCACTGTGTCTGTCAAGAAAGGGTGCACAGACATATTTCTTGTCCTTTTGGGTGCTTTTAGAAATATCTTTTGATGAAAATAGCTGTTTGGAACTCAGATGATCTCATATATCGTCAGTTTCCACACAGAAAATATCTTTCTACTTCTGCTTGCTCCACCCTCCACTCTCAGTAACATCTGAATGTCGGAGCCCATCCTTGTCTGTTCATACAAAACACTTGCTGAGGTGCCTAGGGAATAAGACACAGTGTGATAAGGGAGTCCACATGCCACAGCAGCTGTATTACCCACCATGAAATGCACAGCCATGGATTTCCTGGTGTCAAATACGTATGGCTGAGTATACATAAGAACTCTGATGTCTTACATTCTCCTACTTCCTGAATACAATGAACAAATGTTTGAGAGTATACACTAAAAATTAAAGAATAATCAGTAACCAGAGGAGTAAAGAGATGAGAGGCAAAAAACATTTCAAGAACAAATAATACATTTACAAATATGTATTTATAATTATATAAGTAGCACTTTGTATCAAGTACTCTAATTTCCAAGGTTATTTCAAGTGAAGCAATTTAAAGTACTTGAAAATAAAAATTAAAGAAGAAAAACAGAAAGGGGGTCGTACGCTGATGATTCCAGAATTATGCTATTAGCTTGTGTAGAAGATTGAGATCTCTGATTTACAAAATCATCACTGGGGATGTGTGAACCACATGGTCTTCTGAATGATGAACAGAAGAAGGCTGGACCAAGGGGCCCTCTTGTTCTAATGCAGAATTCCGACTAAATGAAGATTAACAAAGTCTAAATTTAATTTGAGTTTTCCATGTTTTTTGATTGTATGGTTTCATGAGAAAGTAGGTATATGTTTGTGTATGTTTTAAAGACTATGTTGACAATGCAGAATCTCTGTCAGTGATATAAACAGAAAGACCACAACATAGATGGATAGTCAAGAGATGGCAGTCTACAACCTGCCATAAGGCCTTTATCCATTCCATTATTATTTTACCTAATATGATTAGGTTTCAGTAACTATTAATATTATTTGTGAAACTGACTAGAATAAATATTCAGAAATAGTAAAAAAAGAACTCTGATGCCAGTGATTACTGACACCCAAAGATGGACTATTTTGTGTAAGGAAATATATCACTTCT